GGGGCTTGCAACACGCACGTCACAGCGGCCGTTGGGGAGGTCCGTAGAAGAGACGGCTAGGGAAACGTGGGGAGTGTAGGGAAACTAGGGAGAACGTCTCGAGAGCGGAAACAAGTTGGGCCATTTTCCTGTTCGTGCTTGTCCTCATCGTTATGAAGCTAAAGGGGTCTTCTCTTTGGACTAACGGTGTGCAGTGCACTTTTCTGGCATTTTACAGCTGTAGCTTTCCCGGTCTGGCTAAGATTGTGTCGATATTTTTTATAGTTGGAACAAAGAATAATTTCTGCGGGCTGTGCGAATGTGTCACGTCGATGCATAGGGAGACAACAGCAAGTGCACAAAGCAGAGAGAAAATGATCCAAGATCACACGCGTACGTGTTGTTTTGGATACTTTACTTGTTAATTTTTGCGATGGATTAACGTACCTCGTTCACTCGTTTCAGAGACGTTTTGTTTATTCATATACGTCAAGATTAAAAATTGAAGTAGATACAATAATGCTGCATCACTGTGCTATATATACGTGCGCGACTCCAGATAAATTGTTTCTGACCTGATTTCAATCCTCTGTATTTTGAATGCAACGTAGATTAATTTTGTAATAATTTTTTTTTTTTTACTTATTTATTTTCAGATACCGTCGGCTCATGGGCCATTACAGGGATATATACTAGATATAGCATACATGATAGTTATATCTCCGTGAACATAAATGTAAGCACCTATTTGAAGGGAAGTCTGGTGCGTCGCAGATTGAATACTGAAGAGGCAAATTCAAAGGGGGAAAAACATTTTTTTTTATGAGGCATGTCCTTTTATTCCATCACAAATAAATGCCGGTGCGTATCTTCAGAGTTTGAAGTTTTTCTTTTGTTGTTATGCGCTGTCAAGCTTCGTATCAAAGCCCGATCCTGTCAGAGGAAAGCAGCTACCTAAGAGGGTACTCCGTCGTTTTCTTTATAGTCCCCGATTTGCCTGAAAATTTGCTAAACATACAAACAAACATCGCTGAAATATTAACCCCAATATTAAGCATAAAATAATTTTTTCCGCAAAGTTATGAAGTTTACAATTTTGGTCCTCACAATGATTTCCACGGTAATTTACAAAATGTTTTTTGTTTGTTTTCTTTTTAACTTTTTTTTTTTTACACAAACTGTGAAATCTACAAAAATTTGGTCTGCGCAAATTAATTATACCACCAGGCGGACATTATGTCCAAAAGAGAATGCGACTAATAAATGACTAACTAACAAAATTCCTTAATTACTTGTTTAAATAGCTGTATTAGGGCACATGTATATATTGAAGAAATGGAGGAAATGAATGGTGAAGGCCAGCCAAGTTTTTAAAAATCCTAGATCGAGCACGCAGTTCGAGTTTTATAGAATGTCACAGCCACAGACATTGTTACCTGCTACTTCCCTTCTGGAGTTTCGGCTGGTTACTTCACTCAGGTACCGCGAAGAATCGCAATCGCGCGTGAGGGAAAGTTGAGAACTTGAGTCAAATCAGGAGTTTGGAGCACCAGGTAGCGCGTGATGCCGGCTTTTACCCGCATTCTGTGTATGGATGGACATTAGGCAAGTATGTCAAATTTGTATGAACGAAATGAAAATCCTCACAATGTCAAATAAACGATTGTTTACACCTGTAACGTCAAACATAAAAAGAAGAAAAAAATAACGATACGATACAAAATTTAGTTTTCAGAAGCATTATGGTTGACTACTCCGAGGCTTGGACCTTTAGCGGCGAGATGTTTTGGTGACACCCTCGTGTGGTTCCCTCTCGTAACATCATTACCTTGACAAGAACAAGTTAGATGGTATTTGTAATGAGCACCGTGGAAGCTTGAAATCATAGCGCTTTGAAACTGACACTGCCAACACCGTCAAAATTGAAGTTCTTACATTCCTCTTATTTCCATCGATGAAAAATCCTTTGCAGATGTCATAGCTAACACTCGGCAAACCGTAGAAGGCCGATCAAAAGCGTCGCTATAGCGACGCTTTTGATCGCGCCAGGTCGCTAATATATATTAACACCACAATAACACCACAATATGCATTCTATCAGACAGCCATATTCAGCTAGTTGCAAAAAAATAGGGCTGGCGTCATTACCCGATTAATCGCCCCCTTTAGTCGCTTAATTAATCGATTAATCTGTTTCCTTTATTTTCATGCATATTTACTTTTAACAGTCAACATTTCATTTTTTCTTTTGAATTTATGTCAAATATTTTATAAACGACGCAATCTACAACTTGGTTTATGAATCAATCTCGACATGTAGTTAAAAACAATTTCAGACATTGACACTCACTGGCGTAGCCAGTGGGAAGGCTTATAGTTCAAATTTCGTACTGGGAATCTCAATACTAAAATCAAACGCGCGATGTCCACCAGAAGGACAACACTCATTTCAAGCCAAAGGTCACGTGTTACTGACGAAATTTGTGTCACTTTTGCGTCACAGCGCGTCGAAGCATTCACTTTCGTTGAGTAGTTATGTTCAGGTTGTTTCCTGACTCGCACCCATGATTAAAACGTTTTTCAGCGATATCGCGCGGCAATGCACCTTGTCGCGGCCATTAAGGTGGCTAATCGCTTTAGTTTGCCAGCCACGGAACACAGACTGCAATCAGCTCCAAGGCGCTGTGATGCAAAATAATGACGGCAAATTTTGTCATTAACACGGGACCCTCCGGTATCAAACGAGTATTGCGCTTCCGGCGGGCATCGAGGGTTTGGATTCGGTATCGACAGATTTTCAGAACAAAATCCGACAATGAATAACTCAAACTGCGTACTGGATTTAGGATTTTTAAAAACTGGGCTGTTCTTCAACATTGATTGCCACCATTTCTTCAATATAAACGTGTACCCTAAAACATCTAAATATAACGAAATTAGTGAATTTTTTTTAGAATTAGTCATCTAGAGGCGTTTGCAAACATGGCGTCCCGACTGGTGGCCCTTACGTGCAAGTACGTAAAGTGTGCGCTGTGAGCGTAGCTTTGGCAAGCTTGAGGTTGCACATGCTTGCTCGCACGCGCAAGCACATTGCGAATGGCAGATGCCTTGTTTGGAATCGTCTATTAGTTGCGTTTTCTTTTGAACATAATGCCCACGTGGTCGTATAGCTCACTTGCGCAGACCGCGTTTGTGTAGCTTTTACGGCTTAAATAAAGAAAAAAAGAAATGGCATTTTATAAAAGAAAAACAACACCCTGTATACTAGCAACAATAAAAAAGTGACGCGAGCGGCAGGCAGGGCCTCACTATTTGGACTGTAGAATTTGTTCCCAACGGATTACAAGCAGTTGCATTATCTCTAATAAATGCCTTGGAAGCTCGCTTCAGCACCTGCGCATCATCACCAATCGAATGCTCGGCACAGTCCATTTTTTCAGACTGCCTGCTCGGCCTGCAAGCCTGCCTGCCACTGACGTCACGGCACTTAAAAGCGCGGGTGAATGATGGTTTTGGCATGTGTTTCATGTGCCGATCGGACAATACCTAAATTTTGCAATACCAAATAGCATACCGGAAAGGGTAAAGGCCGGAGATTAAGAAAATACAGTTAGCTGGGGTGGCTAAAGAAATGGCCGGGGTACCCTTTAGAGGGAGACTAAACAAGGCGGCAGAAGCGTTGAACGTGACGCTACGAACTCCAAAATCACGATCATACATCGATATCTCAAACGGATGGCCGTATTTTTCGGAAAAGGAGGGCGCGATGAAGCGAGGACTCTGACGTCACGATCCTCCTAGAAGATTTGAGAATTAGGGGAAGCGGCATCACTTCTCTCCTCCTCACTTCTCGTCACCAGCTTGACGGGACGAAGCGAGGAGGAGAGGGAATGAAAATCGTGACGTCACGTGTCTCGTCGGCCTCGTCGGCCGTGTTCAATCGCGCATTTCTTTTCCAAAAACACGGCCATCCGTAAGAGATATCGCTGCACGAGTGGTATTTCGGGGTCCTGCAGAGTCCCGCCTATCGCTCTAGCCCTGTTTTGTGAGCTCGAAATTTCGGTTCAGTATCCCTTTGACACAACCTAGTTTTCAAAACATGGCGCAACGAAAAAAAAAAAAAAGAAAAGAAGTTTGAATAGGTATTGCCAATACCTTACGCCACCGTCTGTCTATCCACACAGGTGATCCTGAATATCACGTGCCTCGAAAAAATATTTCTACGTAAAAGTCAAAATAACTGACTGATATAAGGACGGAGTTTATTTTTTTATAATATAAATAGTGGGAAGAACATAAAACTCAGCGACGGACAAGACGATTTCCCAACCGGCAGCAGTCGCTTAAATCTGCAGACGTCTGCTGCCAGTTGGGAAATCGTCTTGTCCGTCACTGTATTTTATGTTCTTCCCATTATTTATATTACCCTTACCAGCACGCTCTCTATTTCAAATTAATATATATATATATTTTTTTTTTTAGCTGGAACTATGTTCGGGGCGCTTGTAGTTAATTTATCCTGGCTTGGAATGCTTTCTTCTGGATCCGTTCCAGAAGAGCTCTCAATCGTGTTCACTCGTTTGCGAGCCTTTTGTATTATCGTTCTGATTAAGTGGAAGGACGAGGACTCAGCATTTCATACAGCGAGTTGCCTCCTAATCTCAAGACATTACACCCCAGGTACCAAAGACGACTAATTTGTTGGCCTGTTGCTTTATCGTCGTCTCGGGGAAAAACTGGGAGGTACTACTATTTTAAGAAAGGCTGTAATAATTCACCTTAAATTACAATACTGCTGTCTGTCGTACTGTTTCCTGTATTGTGTGCGGTCATGCTGAGTGCTACACAATAAAGTAGACAGAGACGGAATTAAAAAAAAATAAAAAAAGTAGAGGGCTGGATAATGAAGGAATTAAACCTAAACAATGCCCTAGTAATTTGTTCGCACGGGTGTGTGAGTCGTTTTCCGCGACACCCCTTGACGTCCGTCCTCGACAAATGATGTTTTCTTTCATGGACAGGTACGGCATGGACCTAAACGGCGCCCGACGCAAGAACGCCACCAGAGAGACCACGAGTACGCTCAAAGCCTGGCTCAACGAGCACCGAAAAAATCCCTACCCCACCAAGGGCGAGAAAATTATGCTCGCAATCATCACCAAGATGACGCTAACCCAGGTAAAAACCTAGAGACGCTCGCATTCCGCGAAACTAATTGAGTGTCGCGCAGAGCAAACAATTCTTTACATTATAGGATAATAATCTCTGCGGGCCTGATTACATACATCGGCGCTCGAAGGGCGTGATAAGGAAGAAAGAACCTAGGGGTTCTTCGTTGGCAAATTGTTCCTCTTTAGCCCGTAATCGAGGGGATGAACCTATTAAACAGGCGCGAAAGGCTGAGGGCGAAAGGGTAGCCGATTGTGGCAATTGTCGAGTGACCCTGTTGTGCGTCGCACCGCTTGTCCTTGGCAGGTGTCCACCTGGTTCGCGAATGCACGGCGCCGGCTAAAGAAGGAGAACAAGATGACCTGGTCGCCTAGGAACCGATGCGACGACGACGACGACGCGGACGGAGACGACGCGCCGCCCGCGCGACACGACTCCAAGGACGGCCAGGCGTCAGCGGCCGCCTCCAGGCAGGAGAACAACAACAATTCTTCGTCGACGTCATCGTCAGAGGCCGCCGCCAGAGCCGCCGAAGAGTTGGCCCGGAGGAACCACCAGCTCATGGCGGCCGCGGCGGGGGCTGCGGGACTCCAGGAGGCCCGCAAAAGGCCACGAGACGAGTCAGATGGTAGGCCTTACGGGCATCTCTTCGTGGGCTGCGATGGGGGCAGAAGTGGACTAGTTACCAGGGACCACGGCTGTGAAAGGGGTGTTAGATAGAGATGAATGGTCCTGATCGAAGTCTTCGGTTTCCGGGGGACAGCTCTGAAGCGGCATCGGTCGATGCATCTTTAACACTCGCGGTGGATATGACACTGAGCTGTGTGGGATAACCCACAGCCATTGCCGCAGGATGATGGCACCTATGATTCGGCGGAGTCGAATGCTGTGATAAACACACATGCCAAAAAGAAATATATATATGTATAAAATCTTAAAGCATGGGTGTAGCGTACCGCAGCAGAAGGAACTTAGACGAACTCATCTCTTCAACTCAAGCGTCGTGGAATTCTATGTCACGGTAGCAAGCGGCAGTCTCATCGTGCGCTTCGCGCTTACGCAGACACCGCAGATTCACAGAGCTTCCATCATCTGGCATCCGACGTCTGTATCGTTTCGCTGGCCCTCTGTGGCCGGCTGCGGAGTGTGCACCGGACGTTTCTCGTTAGGGCACGGCACTTTACGCCTCCGCGCTGGCTCGGCCGTCCGCGAAGCGTCACGAACCGCCAGGGGAGGGCTAGCGGTGGGCGTGGAGCGTCCTCCACGCGTGCCGGGCCACTTCTCCGCCCCGACGGCGCAAGCCGCGTCGGTGGTCGGTCGCCATTTTCCGGTGGAGCGCGCGCGTGCGAGCTTACCGCCGATCTGCTGTCGATGGGGAGCCCTGAAGGTCAGCCAGGCGAAGAACGACGACAACACCAGCCCCATGACACAAATAAGAAGGGCCGGAGCTGTAACAATCGCCGCCGCCGCTTTTATTGAGAGCAGATGACGTAAAAGCAGTTCACATCTAAACTGAAGCTCTGTTAGGCCCACCGGTTTTAGCGCCTGGAAGATATACACACCGTTTTTACTCTTATTCGGAGGGTGGCGGCATCTGTCACGAGTGCCTCGCTTATAAGCTTTGCTTGAACTGGACTTTAGGAAAAACTGATAAGGACGCTGTAAGCAGTTGTTCGCCCTCTTTGAGCCTATGAATCAATGAAGATTAGATGGCGTGTATTATTTCCTTTCCATGTGTGTAACTTTAACAAAACCTGAGTTCCTTCTCTCTCTTTTTTTTTTCTTCTTATAACTTTCTGATAAAAAGGCGCATCCCACAAAGTCTGTAATCGTAGGACTTTGTGTGCATCGCAGAAGAAAAAAAAAAAGACCTGCAGAATTAACTTTTTAGTAATTATTTATAGATTTCAAATACAGCTCGTTAGATCCAAGCAGCATAGCGATGAGCGACCTTTCTTGAGGTGGGAAATATGCCCACGCCTTCTGGTTGCGTAATACATCATCAGATGCAACACGTTCATAAACTAACTCCGAGAAATTGGGCGAAGAGCTAAGAGGATACTTGCCCTGGAGTATTCCATTTCGTTGCGCGCTTTTGTGCGTGTATACCACGTGCTCGATAGAAGCTATGTGCCGCTTGAGGAACCATGACTCCAATGCTGATGAGCCTGGTATGACTCTTCTGCGCAGATCTCGTGGACGTTGACGATGACTCCCGGTCCTCCGACCTGACCGACCTGCGTCGACCCGGCGGAGCGTCGCAATCGTCTGAAGAGCCTCGGCACGGTCTGCACCACGGTGCCGGCGGCACCCTGTCCGACGCGTCCTTGTCGGACTCGGAGTCGTCGGCGCGCACGCCGGCCGCGTCGCCCAACGGCCACTCTGGCACCGACGTGTCGTCGGCATCGGCGCCCAAGCCCCGCATCTGGTCCATCGTGGACACGGCCACGTCGGGGAGTCCAAGCAGCGCCATGCTTCCACCGACGGCATCTTCGCCGGCCGCCGTGGCAGCCGCCGCGCGGATGGCGTCCCTGCAGAGGTCCGTTCGGCTGGACTACCTGTCGCCCTACCACAAGACGAGTTCCTGGTACGCGAGCACGCTGAGCAGTCTCGGCGCCGCCGGGGGCTCGTTTCCGCTTTCGACGGTGTACAGCGTGCCGACCATCATGTCGCCCGCTGCGGGGTTGGCTCCAGTGTCCGCGGGCTCCCCACTCACGGACTCCACGACGGCCGCGTCGTTGAGCAGGTTACGGACTGCCGCGGCGTTTTCAGCAGCCGCCGACATGGTCTTGCCCAAGCCCGGTGCAGCGCCCCACGGGGCTGGGCCCTCGTCAGTGTTCAACCTGTCGCGGCTAGCCGCCAGCGCGGCGGGACAGCCTCCCGCGCGGTCCTCTGCGGCCGCTATCGCCGCCGCCGTCGCGTCCACGAGCAGCAGTCCGTCGGTGAGCCAGTCGACGGCCAGCGCGGCGCCACACCAGAGTAGTCCGTCATGAGGCAGCGCCGCCGTCACTGGACTGATCCGCTCGCGGCCTTGCGCGCATCGCTGGCGCATGCCAGGGGCAGCGTGCGGGGCCGCCTAGGCCAAAAACTGGCGCTCCTCCCGACCGATGGGACAAGGGCAGTGTGCACAGGACCCCGTGTTTCCCTCCCGCGTAGTGCGTGTGTGCGAGTGTGTGTGCCGCTGTCCCAGCGCTGTAGCACCTGTAGACGGGGCGGTCTTTCGTTGCATTGCCGGAGGCACGCTAGAGGGCTTCCCTTCTCCTGCGGCGGCAGCACCCACAGGTTCCCCGACCACCGGGGATCAGCGAGTGTGCACTTGCATCTTGTGTCGATACCACCAGCTTGAGCCTCCTACTCCGTCATAACGTATTGCGTACGCTAGGAAATTGTGCACACTTGAATCATGGGGCAACCGAGAAACTACCGCCCGCCACCTCGACGCTGCCACGTCTTCTCGTGACTGCGAGATGGCGAGGCGTGTTGAAACTAAGTTATAACAACGTGGCGGACGGTGTCGTTTCTCGTTGGCTGTTGTGGGGTCGCGCCACGGGAGGAGGGGCTGCTGTTCAGGTGCAGCGCTTACAGCACATGTGGCAATGCGAGAGCAAAGGAAAACGTGCAAGCCTCTTCCATCCCCCCCCCCTTCCACTCCCCCCCACTTGTACATAGAAGTCGGAAATCTCTCGTGTTCTGTTCGCTACCGCCTCTGTACAATTGATGTCATCCCGCATCGTAAAAGTTGAAAAAAAGGTTCGAGAAACAAGTGTCACCCGCAGGCTGTCCGTATCTGCCGTTATTTTTAATAACGCTGCGATTTCAATTTCTGCTCTTCGACTTTTGGTTTAGTGAACCCAGGAAAAATGACACACTTAAAATGCTTCGCATCGAAAATAATTTCTGCATACACACTTTTGCACGTGAGTTCTTCTGCCACTAGCAAGTCAAAAGCGAAAGCCCATTGGTCGTCACATATCACGTGATTTACGACACCCTGTATACAAAATACTCTCTAGAAGCTTGTAACATCCGATATCTCAATTCAGCGACCATGTCGATCAAATGTCACTACCCCCAAATCCAACGAGGCCCCACTTAGGAACAAAATTTACAAGAAAGTAGTGTCCTATTGTTTAAAAGTTACTCGACGTTTTTCACCATATAAACTCTCTCGCGGGAACCGCTCATTAAACAGAGACTAATCAATTGGACACCTTTTTAAATGCATACCTTCTTCTCGGCAATCGTGCTAGTAGTCTGGGCTGGCCCAAAATTACCGAGCAAGCGGAAAAAGTAATACCAAAAAGGGCGGGCAGTGAAGCTGCATCGATTCCCAGCAGGGGAGGTATGGTAAACGCCCTATTGTCGTAGGACCGATTTTGAGCTAATCTGTGATCGCATGTTTCGCGTTGCCGTCAAGAGTTGAAGTCAGTTTACATATCACTCGAGCCGCGCTACTTCGAGTGGTGCTCCCGTAGACAATTTTGGCACAGATCTTTAAGTGTCTACCCCAGCAGCTCAAGAACTGTATAGCGAGAGAAGCGTACCACTTCGAACAATGACGTATTGCATTGCCTGCTTGCTTCCGAATAGTACTCGTGCCGTGTTCAAACGAAGCTTTTCGATAGTCTCGCTTACGAGCATAATATAACCCCAAAAGGGAAGTTCACGCAGACTTTTTGCTCCCTCTTTTGCCACTCGAGGCAGTTACAGGTTTTATCGAGGCGTTTGGTGGGAAAGTCATACGAAATTCGACGTTCTGTCGTCATGCGTTCCAAAACCTACGATTGTGCAGGACGAAAAAAGATAAAAAAAAGAGGAAAAGACCGACTAATATAACTTCGTATTTCGATCTGTTCTCTGACGTCCGAAAAGCGATTCGGAAGCCACAATCTTCCGAGACCAACGAACGATTGAAAATAGCTTCGAATGCCTGAGAGAGAGAGAGAGAGAGAGAGAGAAATCTCGTTCATCGGAGCTTTTCCAGTTTTATTCATGTATGCTCTTTGCTCTACTCTTTTAAATTATCGAAGTGCTTCGGCACAGACCGTAGGATTGTCGTTGAAAGGTAAAAGAGATGCTCTCCTTTTGCAACTCTCCAGGTGTGGTTTGCTGATCACTGCGGATATTTTCAACGCTGGATAAAAAACAATCATCATCATCATCATCTATGTGAGGATAGAGCAGTACCTCAATGGCTGCCGTAAATGCCTCTTCACTTCGATCAGAAAAGTCCTGTAACAACTGCTTCCGTAGAATATTGTTTGCGGTTGTGGCATTTAAACGGAAATAAGTAGCGTTATTTAACTGCAGTTTTTTTTTTTTTTTTTTTACGTGAATTACGCAGATTTGTATTTAAATATTTTATGTATCCTCCTGGTCACGTCCGTCAAGCCATCGGCGCTTTGAAAGTAATGGAGTGACGAGAAAGAAACCAAGGATTTACGGCTGCCATTTAGGAATTGCTGTGTCCTCGCATAGGTGAAAAATGTCCTTTGTATCTCCCGGAGAAAACATCCGTAGTGGTCAGCAAACCGTCGCAGGTGAGAGAGCGCGAAGGAGTGTACTAGAAACAAGCTCTCATGTAGGCTTTTGGTTTGGTTATGTTTTACATTTTCTACAAAATTATCATGATTAATATAAAAGCGGGCATATAATAATGACAAACTGTTCAAGCATGCCATACACTTTTACGAGTTTTTTTTAATTCTTTCAACGAAAGTTAAGCCTTTGTAATAAAAGCTGTTGTGTTACGTGAACTAAAAAACTCGGTATGGGAAGAAAATTCATGCGAAAACTTAACGTAAACAAATCTTGAATGACCTTTAGACTTTTGTTTTTTTTTTAGAAATGTTTTGCGTTTGTATACACGTAGGGTACAGCGTACTGCAAACAATGTTCAGGCGCACTTGCATTTACCTTTCGTTTTACACGCGCTGTTCGTTTCCTTTTTTGCTCGAGTGGATATTGTGAGTCGTTGGCCCTTGGTCCGAATCAGCCTTCTGAATTGTTTTCGGTTATTGGCAGATTTCAATGCTTCGTCTCATAAAAGTGAAAACATGCAGCGCTGCGTTCGATTTGATCCTACATCGCATCATCGGGTGTCCGAGTTCTCTCGTTGCTGAAGGGTGTGGCACACGGACGGCGTCACAAGAGGGGCGTGGCAACGGGGTGTCGCGTTTCTGATTGGCAGACATTGGGCAGACATTGTCGGTCACGGCACGCCAACTCTTCCTGTGCACCGTGCGTAAATCTGCCGAACGGTTCTTTGCGATGAATGCTTGTGTGACGCGTCGAAGAAACTATTGTGCGCGTTGGTCGGGAGAATGTCCGCGGAGTTCAAAATGCAGGGCTCTCGCGACAGTTCACACGGATTGACGAATAACCCGAGTCGTTAACTTATTCAAAGGCAATGGTGCAAACAGACTGTACATAGTGAAAACCGAGAAGGAACGGTAGGATCGATTACCGACGTAAAAGCTCGAAATGAAATGTCAAATGTTTGTGTTTCATTGGCGTTGTGTTCCTTTGTTTTTGTTTAGTTTATCATTTCGAAGCAGTTGATTTCACGTCTTGGAATCCTTTATTTTCCGTTTCCTCCGCTGCCGTCATGGTTGGTTCTACATGATGACGATGATGATGATGAGACTGCGTGTGTAATACAGTGAAATACAACGTGTTGGATTAAAATATAGTGATGAGAAACAAACAAACTGGCTACTCGTCTTTTTTGCCTTCAGTGGCAGGGTGAATTGGTGACGTTGTTGCTACGAGTATCTTGAAAGTGTTGTTGACTACATTCGGTAGACATGACCGAAACTTTTTTGCTGATCCGTTTGAAGCCTTGCCGCGGTTAGGTGTTGTACCAACCAAACCTAACCAAGATCAGGCTGGCAGAGGGCTTCGCGCATGTCCCAATGAAGATATGTAGTTTTTACGAAAGCGAATTTATTAATTTTCTACATAGTTCACACAGTACGACTGATAAGATCTAGTTTTAAATTGAATGCCTTTGGAATGGTAGTCAAATGTATTGACCCATGCGGAGGCAACCCGTAGGACTTGCCTGCCTTTTTTTTTTAGATCCTTTATTATAAACTTAGTCTTCCCTACTACAGGATAAAAGGTTCCAGGTATGATGAGGTTCAAGCATGCCCAGCATACGGGTATGGACCGCATTTTATTGCGTCTCTTGTAGCTTCCTTTTGGCAACAGTGACAGATCGTGGAGACGAACTCAACGATGTGAGGGTATAAAGAAAAAGAAAGAAGAAAAAACCGTGCTGACATGTATGGAAGATGCGCAGGTAGGTATGTATGTGATGGTTCACCTTCCCTGACTTTCCAGTTATACCACACTCAGTAGGTAGATACCAAGTTAGGATAAAGTGATTAACATCGGTACTGCAAGGCTCTGCAGTCTCTGGCACACTGTGATGCTCACAGACATTGAAGTCTGTCCGAATTTGAGACATAGGAAGAGGAGGACGAATACACTTTTAGAAAACTTTGGAAGGAGCTCGAACCGATCTCGAAGCTGATACGTTTCAGCCTAAAAATGCTTTGTTTGCCGTGACACTCAGAATGATGTTCACCATGAACAAAGTGCCATTACGCATACTACTTTTTTTTAGGTCTAAACATATCAGCTTCGTGATTGACCAAGCTCCTTCCAAAGTTTGCAGCGATAGGCTCTCCCAAGTTCCCTGCGGGAAAGGAGACGCTCCAGATTTTTTCGAGTGTACAAGGAAGTTTACGTGGGAAGTTTGTCCCCCGGTTGGCCATTCTGTGCACGGGGAAGGGGAGGGAAAAGAGAAGGTCTGGAGCCGAGCCTACAAAGTCCAAAGAGCATCCGCAGTGGTCACAAGGAGGAAGTTATTTTCTACAGGCAGAACTAAAGACTTGTTCTAAAGCAATTGGAAAACAAAACAAAACAATGCTGTGGCCTTGAAGTGTCTTTGGGATATATTTAAACTTCGAGGATCCAGGATTGACGTTTCATCCATTTCGGCGGCTAGCAGCACCTGGTATATACGCTCTGAAAATAAATAAATAAAACATGACTAGGGGTGGTGAACCACTGACCTTTTTTGAGTGACGAATGGAATGGGACAATTAGTTTCGTTTCCCCGGCCCACATCCAGTAAAAAATTGTAATAAATCATACGTTTTATATACCCACTCAGCTTGAATAAATATGTGATGTCTTGATTGCCATCATTTATTACTACAAATGGAAGCTGCCAAAGATTGTTGCAACCACGGTAGGCGCCTTTAATTTTTTTTTTGACCCCGTCTTTTAGGGTAACTTGTCCAACAGTTTCAGCTCTTTCCAACATTCTCCTGCAAAACAATGAAACTGAAATATAGCCACATCCGTCCTTACCGAATGTCAGGGATCAACAAATTCACGCTGTTTTTATTCCTCCGGGCTCTAGCGAAACTCTCGCGTTTTTTTTTTTTTTAATTTTTAGGGATTAAGATTTTTACTGTTGTTGGCTTTATTGTACCGCATACAACGACGTCTTGCTGATAACAAACTGTTCACCACCGTGTCCAATAACCTCCTTTGGTGAATATCAGGGTTTATGAAATGGATACGATAGTAGTGTCAGCCCAAAACATATTATACGTCTAAAAAAAAAGTTTTGGCACAGGATTTGTAAGTTTCCTCGTCACGATAAATGAGAATTATCGCATGTCCCTAGTTTAATTTATGCGGTTTCATTTTCCGATAAATACAAAGATTGGTAACTTGATTGACGATAATTGCACCCTCAATATCTGACATGAAATGATGTTGAGGTGTTTTAATGGGAGGAATGATTAATGCGTTAAGGTGTTACGAAACCATGATAAATGAAAATCACGGAATTGAATGTTGCGAAACAACGGCGAGGCACACTGCACTAGACTGTCCATAAATAGGGTACGAACAATTTATGCATGATAAATCGTTACTCCCCTCAAATATTCCTTACCTACATCTATACACCGTCTCACCGTACCCTAGACCACAGACCACCCTTACAAGCCATCGAAGCCAATCCAAATCCGCCTGAGTGTCACGATGCCTATGTAGGTGCGCGACGACGGATGGGGGGTGTGATCACGTGGTACTCTGACAGCGTTCGATTGGCTCGACTTGCTTGTAGCGTCCACTACGCTCCATCTCAAGGTAAAACCAAATATTATCTCCCTTTTTTTCCCTCGTAATTGACTTTTGACTTGTGTAGGTATACATTTTATATATGAACGATTGTTTCTAATGCATTAAAACGTCGCTTTAAATTGGTAAAAAAAAATAGTTTGTTTTATTTTAGAGTAATTAATCTTGCTGAGTAGTTTATATGAGACGTACACCGTTAAGATGAAGATTCATCGTAAATCGGCCGTCATCCGGGGGCTACGATCATTTTGGGCTTTACTAAGCTTTCATCGAATAGAATTTGGTGGTTGATGCGTAGCGTGCGTACAGGACTAAGAGCACACATAGGTTGTAGGAGGCAGCCGCGGGTGAATTACAGCGTAAACAGGTACGACATGGACTCGTTGTTTTCAGTTAGCTAGCTCTTGCCCGTGCCCTTCCGTGTTCCGGAAACCCAAGCTGCCCGTAATTGGCAACAAGTATCACTCGCAGCCACAAATAATTGACCCTACCAAAGGAAGTGTGTTGCGTCATGCGTTGTCTCCAGTGTTGGCGCGGTAAGGCGGTACGTACAAGTAACGCCGTTACAGGTAACGCGTTACATTTTTCAGCAACAGCGTACTGGTTACTTTTTCAAAAGAGTAACATGTAACGTACTTACGTCACTTATTTCAAGTAACGGGTAACGTAGTTACGTTACTCGTTACACCTTCCCAAAAGCTGTAAAAAAGAAAAAAAAAGTATACTTAAAGTTTTTTCATGTTTCTATACTTCGTTGCACCCGAGTCCAGACACCGCCGACGGTATACGAGCTGATGGGACAAATCAGACAGCGTCACATGGCACCACCTTGGTGCTCCTCCTGTTTCTGTGCGTGTTCTATCATCGCTGAACCAATCATAAACATAAAAGGCCCAGTGACTTGCGCTTTTGACGCTGATTGATTGCCCCCATTAGCTCGTAGCGTCGACGGCGTCTGGACTTACGCTGAAACGAAGTATATGCGACCAGTCATTAATTATTGGAATCATTCCACATACCTTCAATATTTTACCTGTCTTTTCTTCACTGCAAAAGTCCCACTTTAGAACAACCTCAACGCCCAGGCCCATTGTCGGAAAACGCTGTCGTCAAAACAAGCGCTGTAACCGTCAATTTATGAATAAAAAGTAACGCAAAAGTAACGTGCTTTACTTTTGTTATCGGTAAAGGTAACGGGAACGCGTTCCTTTTGTTATCGGAAAGGTAACGGAGGTCGGTAACACGTTCCTTTATTTTGCAAGTAACGAGTAACGTATTTCGTTACTTCTTTTCGGTAACGCCTACAACACTGGTTATCTCCTACAGGCTTTAGCCCTATTTCGACTCAAACGATGGATTATAAACCGGATAGCACGGCAAATATATATGAAGAGATCCGTCACAACGAGCAGGCGAGTTGGTTCATGACTTATAAAATTAAAAACAAAATATAGTACGATTGTAAGATTAACAGGAAACAAACGTTCAAGATCAAGTGAACACGTCAATGCCTTTGACAACGACCATCACGGGGAAATGGGTGGGGGGAGGGTCGTGGTAAAATAATGAACATTTTCCAGGTTGTCGATCAATTACTCATTGTTCCAACCGTAGATTTATGCCTCGCTAATTCCGACCAAGCGTATACAGTATATTTCCTGACTCCCATCCCTAGCAGGCAGAACAAACGCACACAGAGCGAAGCCTGGAGTCAGCCGTAGCGTGCCCGGCACACACACACACATGTTTCCTTCGGGCCTCCCATATTAGAACGGCAGTCCCATCGACTTCGGACGAGAAGGGCAGCATTAAAAGGCCACCCTTTGTAATCCCATCAGCGGCGCGCTGCGAAACAGGCACAAGGAAGCGGGCTCATTGCGTGAGCGTTCTCCGCGTATCCAAACGCAAACGGACGTCAAGACACGAAGTCAAGCAAAAAAAAAAAAAAGTTGCCGAAAAACAGGTTGGACCCCTCCCCCGCAGACCCTCGCTAGGTCCAGCTTGGGGAAGCCGTGCCACTCCAGAAAAGTCAATTTGCTCGAAATCCAATCGAGCTTCCCGTGTAACACCGTGTTAACTCAAGGGGCACGGCAAACTAGAGCGCACTTAGCAACTTGCTTGAAATAGGATTGCACCTGACGGATTAACGGGCAAACAGAAACGGGCGTGTGGACAAGAGCACGACGCGGGTAAAGTGCGCGAAAGCGATCGAGTCTGGGGGGGAAAAAAAAGGAGGGAGAGCTGGACTTAATCACGAGAGTACTCGGCCTGTGTTCGTGTTTTAGCAGCCACGTAATGCGACTGAAGATCAGTGAACCGTGTTTCACAGCTTATGACTGATTCAGAGGCTGGTAGTATGGGGATTATGGAGTCTCTCAGCATTTATGGACACGCAAATGACGCTCCAAGGCCGTGAAAGCCGAGTGAACATGAGCAAAGAGATCTATCTGTTCAGCGCAGTCGTTATAAGATATCGAGGCACGTCGGTTCAAGCAGTTCAAGCGTTGAGAGTACAAACGGCCGCGAGAATTACACTGAGCT